CCGAACAAATCCACCAATCTGGGTGAGCGGAGGAATTAACTAAACATTCACAAAATGTCAATGGACAAAACGACGTGGACGCCAAGCAAGGCTTCATTTAAAAATTCCACCCCATTTTAGACTACAGTCCTATTATATTCACCGACTTCAAAAAAGGAAAGGAAATTTTTCAACTAGTTTGGTTAATGTAAAACCTCAGAACTCTGTATTTTTTTCTAATTTACGACACGAAGATACTTACCATATACTTTCGAATACACTTTACCATACTACTAGAGGAAATCTACACTCGAGAGTAGATTATCAATTTTATTCTTATATAAGGAAAAATTAAGCTTCTCAAATTACGTTCTAGGCACCTCGTATTACGTATCAAAAGCGTATGTTGTGCATTTTTGTGCCAATACATCATCGAATTACATCGCATTAAAATAACTCGTATATTTCTTATTAGAGCTTATCGTTGAGTAATGAAAACAAATGTTGATACATGAACATTCGTTTTACTTACTCGTTTAATTAATTGCTTTCAAATTATTATATTACGCAAACATTACGTGTCCAAAGGTCGCGTAAATATTGATGAATAGACTTGAGCTAGAGGTAGAAGATCATATACGTCACTGAACACACATGGCTAAAAAAATCAGTTTTTCTTAATTTTTTATGGAACTTTACATCACAATATTTAAGATAAGGGCCAAATATCAAAAAATATATAGAACTTAGAAGAATGAATTGATATCTCTACAGTACTTTTACTCGCACAGCATCAGACCCCTAAAATTTTATTGATATAGATAAAAAATCCTATATCCTATGGGCTGCTAAGGCAGAAAATAACCGATTTGGTGTGACATAACATTACTTACGTCCATTTATTAAGTGTAAATATTTTGTAAAGGCTACCTTAATGGAAGGGGCCTATTATAATGTCGAGGAATAGATTGAGGACAAGGATGTGTGGAAATGACTTGCTCTGCACTTGTAAGTCCCCTGGCTCCTGCTAATTTTATACTTAAATACTTTTGTAATTAAATAATTTATTAAAAAAAATATAACATGACCGCAGAGTTTCTTGCCGGTTATTCTCTTGCAGGTCTAGATCAGTGAACCGGTAGTAGTTTTAGACGTTCAATAAGAGCTTAAAATAAGCCTATGACGAATAAAGAAATTTGAACTTTGATAACTGTCATATCCTAGTGAGTACTGAAGGGATATATAAGTGAAATCTGGATGATGCGTTGTGTGGTCTACAGACTGAAGGCGTTACTTCTAATTCTTTCATCACTAGCCTTGATTGAATCGCTTTTCGATAGGATATTCCTACATGCGTAACATTTTATTTATTATTTAAAAACACACAGAAAAAGTAAAATTGTCTTTTCTTGCCGATTTTAATTTATACTTTTACACCCCAATTGATGTCTTAAGTGATGAATTTCCGAAAGATTCTTATTTTCAGTATGCATCTGCTAAGTTTGAATCGTCATCGAAGTTGTTATATATGTTATATATATTAATACTTCAACTATCTTAGCTTATATTTATATATTCTATCCAATTTATTTGCATTTTCCACTTATTTCCGTTAAAATACTTTACTTTATCAGCAATTAGTGTCCCACTGTTGGGCAAAGGCCTCCTTCCATTTCTTCCACTCCTTCCTGTCTGTTCCTTTAAAATAGTCGAGTAAAATTTTATTACGCTTTCATCGTTTACTTTTAATTAGAATGAAGTTGATAATGATGAACCTAAACAATATATGTATGAGCAAAATGTAACAAAATTCTACAGAATTAAACTTTAAATGTGAAAATTTTAAGTAGAACGAAATTTATACAGATGTATAATTTTAACGCGTCATTTGAACTTCAGATAAAGTTGACGCCACGATTCTGAACATGACTACCTGTTTACGGTGACCTATGCCGTGTTCCGGTAACGTTGATCGAAGTATCCCATTGGAAAATTTTAACCTTAAATGCGAGCGGAAGGATAGCAGTTTCAATTATGAACTAACCGAGGATTGCAGTTTTAATTATGAATCACTTGATGAAGGCAAGTTAAAAGAAGACAGCAGGAAGTTTGTTTAAAATTATAACCGTAGGGTCCGATTATATATCAATCGGATAAGGTATGCAAAACGTTTTGTTGTCGGTTGCAAGCATTAAGTTTATTATGGTTTATTATCTGGGGTAACAAAACAATGGTGCCGTGAATTATTGTTTACGTGTGAAATTTCGCATGCTGCATTTATAATTCTTGGATAATTGTGGACGCCATAGATTTATCTAATTGTAATTCGAAAGCTATCATTATTTTATAATTTAGGGAATCTAGATTTGTATCAAAGATACGTTATATTTATTATTATGTTATTAAAAAATTCTCGGAGTCTTCGAAACAAAATTCAGGGAAAAAGGTAAAAATAATGTTGGTACTTGTTGTATGGAAAAAATACAAGTATGTCTTCTTTTTATCAGACTATCATAAATAGGCTAAACTAATTTAAAGTCAGGTTCACAGTCAACATATGAAAACAGTTTATTGTCGAACGACTCATAAGAACTGAGAATTTATTCGTAAAACTAATTGGTATAATGATTGTAATGTTCTGAAGTATTGTGTCGGCAACACTATCATTAAACATGCACCTACCTCATTGTAACATGAACCTTACTCGTTCTTAAACGTTTGCAAAAATCAAAACATCTGCCGAATTAAAATTAAATGTTTTGCTTGTTTTGCAACTTTTATTGTTTTTTTCAGTTCATGCAGACGTGTCGTTTGCAGACTGTGTATTAGTACCCTTTGTAAGGTTATCAAATAAGGTTTTTTAATGAATTAACTTTATTTTCTCTACCTGATATACCTATTTAATGTAACACAATATTCTTTTTAATACACATCGTTTATAAATGTTATAAAACTTTGATTTGTATTGTGTAATTTTCTTTCTGCTTTACCCTTTTTTTAATATCTTACTTTGGCATGTCGTAAAATCAGTGTCGAGGTATATTAGTTATAAACATAATATATAACTTATAACTTTCTAAATATAAGTCATTATGAATGTTTCTATTCTGTATTAATATTCTAATCGCAACAAAAATAGGACTTTAAGCGGGGAGCCTGTACGCAGTTTCAATTGGTTTTGTTTTCCGAGCGTATTGTTTTAGCAGGCAGCCTATATGGGGCAACGCACTTGTGTATTAATAGGCCTTGCTAACTACGCGTGGTACCACCAATTAGAGCCACAAAAACAACACGCGCTCTTAATCGCCACTTATGTAGAAACTCAATCGAAGACGGTGCTATATGTGAACATTAATTTTTGTTGGAAAACCAAACAGGACGATAATTTGCGTTTTTCATATATACCTTTTTTAATGTCTTAATCTTCTCGTAGTATATTTGTTTAGTACTATTATATTTAAATCTCCAGTTTTGAGCTAAAACTGATGTTGTCCAGTCCGTCATTCTAGTCACGTTACGATAAATGGCATAGTCCTATTCTTAGACCCAAGAAAAATGTTCACGATTTAAAATTATAATATAAAAATTTAGTCAATGTGTATGTGCATCTTTTTCTTTTAATCAATTTTTGTAACTTGAACTTTATAATAATGGTTCTATGGTCTAAAATGAAGTTGTTATTATTATTGTCATTAAAATAATTATGAACTTTGACTTTTGGTCTTGGACCCACCGAAACAGAACTGCGTTCTTGTAAGCGCTAAATCGAAGTGTCCAATAGCAAATCCGAATGGCACAGGCGACGGTAAGTGAAAGCCATGTTAAAATATGGTTGTCCTAAATAACTCGATCGGTAAGCTGGGCTGAACTCAATGATGAGCAATATTGTTAATATTACTTCAATCAAATGTGATTATGCACTTGAACATAGAGTAAAAAAGTATATTAAATTAACAGCCTATACATAATTATGTCTCCCCTCTCATCTATAACTAAAGAGGGTATTAGGGTAGGGCAAAGTCCGTCAACGGAGACCCCACTGAGGATTTGCAGACTTCACACAATAACTTCTGAATATTTTTTTGGTATTAATTCGGACACGGCTATCACGGAACAGATACGGAGAGTTAATATAATATGTATATTAATAACATCTGTTTAGTATTATGTAGCTTTAAATGTAATGTCCTTTTTTTGCTACTTTTCTGTATTCTATATCTTTTATCCTACACTCCAATAAAAAGTCATTCTGACCTCCTCGAACACTTTTTTTTAGTACAGCGTAAAAAGAAGCGTGAAAAGTTATTAGTTTAAAGATAAGACTAGAAAATCACGATAAAATACCAGATAAAAAGTGTACCGAGGAACCGTTACGGCTTCGAGTTTATTGGTCAATGGCCAGGACGTAGATCTTATTCATTGCGTTAACTTTCTTCATCATTTTGACCTCGGAAATGCTTCACTGAGACACTTTCATTTAGACGTAGGTGTTTAATTTTTAAGACTCTTTTTTCGCACTATATATTATTCATTATATATGTATATTTCTATTGAATACCTTATATTTATATATTATATATTATGTACTTTTTGTACGTATTATTATATTTGTATGTTAGGTTATGATATTTATTATGTATAACGTAGTCACTAAATTATGTATGCTCGTTCCTCTTGTTATTTATTATTTTATTCACGCACCTACCTCTACTCTGTAGCCCTCGTTAAGTTAAATGGCAGAAAATGTATTTGGCATTAAGTTCCTAATAAATTTTAAATAAATTTAAATGAATAATCCCCCAATTAGTTCCGTGCTTTCAGTATTAAATCGATCGCTACCATTACCAAGTTACATGATATAACCACATCCATACTTTCATACTCTTTTTCTCTTTTCGCAGGTAAACAACGGCGGTAAGCCACACGAGCCGTGGCCGCGTAAACGCACGCTGTGACGCAATCGTGTTCAAACAATAGACCTGTTATGGGGTGTTTAGTGAAATAGAGCAACTGCCGGCGACATGTGGCGGACGGCCGCTGCGTTCGCGCTGGTGGCTATGGCCACGGCACTGCTTGATGGTCCCAACGTCTGCACTAGACAGGAACCGTGAGTTTTTGCTTGAATTTGTATAACGTTTAATTCTCTCTAATCTAATTTTAGAACCACACGCGTAGAAAACCAAATATTACAAAAATTCCTTTACAGTCAAGGCTATCTGCTTGTGGAATGAACTACCTCAGCAAATTCGTCGTGCAAAGACGCTAGACAAATTTAAATATGACGTAAAGAATCACTATCTTTCCCTCTGTAATCCATAGGTAACATTGACAATATTAATCTATTATACTTTCATATATTTATTTATGTTAATTATATATATTATATATTTATTTATGTTTATGTATGTTTATTATAATTTATTTTATTATTATTAAGTAAGTTTATTAGGCACACCACCTCCCACTATTCTTAAGTTTATTTTCCTTGTCCTAAGGTTGTCTGGAAGAGATCGTTCTTTAGCGATAAGACCGCCTTATTGTACCTAGCTTTTAAGATTTATTTTATATGAACTGTATAAAACTTTTTGTGGTGTACAATAAAGTAAATAATAATAATAATAATAATAACTACTTTCTGGCGAGATCGGATGAATCAATCTACACGGACGTCATTAGTTGTGATAAAGGACTTACCCCTCTACCCTTTGCCAACGAGCAATGGCAGGACCCGGGAGTACTGAGCGTTTCCGACCGAGAGACCGTGTGGAAGGAGAAAGAGCTCCACGGGAGGTTCTACAAGGCTCTACACGAGCCTTTCGTAGATAGCGTTCCCTCCCTTAACTGGCTACGTTTCGGTGACCTCTTTGGGGAAACCGAAGGTTTTGTCTGTGCAATACAGGATCAGGTTATTAAGACGAACAACTATCGGAAATACATCCTAAGGGATGGCACCGACGACATCTGTCGAGCTTGTCGCCATCCCGGGGAGTCGCTTCGGCATGTTATTTCCGGTTGTTCCATGCTTTCTAACTCTGAGTATCTGCATAGACACAACCTAGTAGCCAGAATAGTACACCAGGAGCTCGCTCTGAAATACGGCCTCGTGGATCGGAAACTGCCGTACTGTAAGTACTCTCCGGAGGCCGTGCTCGAAAATGACCGCGCCAGGCTCTATTGGGACCGGCCCATCATCACGGACAGGACGATTGTCGCGAACAAACCTGACATCGTGGTGATGGACGGGGCACAGTCGCGGGTATTTTTGGTCGACATTACCATTCCATATGACGAGAACCTCGTGAAAGCCGAAACAGATAAGAAGACAAAGTATCTGGACCTGGCTCACGAGGTGACCGACATGTGGGGTGGTGTGCCGACTGAAATTATCCTGATAGTCGTGTCTGCGAATGGGTTAATCCCAGTCAGCCTCTCTAAACATCTGAGGCGACTGGGACTCCGGGACGGATCGCTCCAAGCTCAAATGCAGAAGGCGGTGCTCCTCGATACCGCCCGCATCGTCCGCCGGTTTCTCTCCCTATCGCCCTAACCCTCGGCCGTTTGGTCTCCCCTGCCGAGGGCTTCCGTCTGGTTGGGTCCTATTTATATATGTATTATATACAACATTTATATGTATATGTTTATTTTTATCCATAATATTTATTTTATATATGCAATATGTATCTATATTTTTATTTTTATTTATAAACCCAACCAGACGAATAAACAAATGAATATCCCCCCAAATAATAATAATACTATTTTTTATGTATAAACCCAACCAGACGAGAAAACAAATAAATATCCCCAACATAATAATAACGTTTTCGCTTCAGTCCGTAAACTATTAGAGCTTCATCAAACCCGGTTACCGTCTCATCGGTCGAAACGCGAAAGTATTATATTTCCACTTCAAGCTGGTCTTCTGTGAAGCTGTGGTGCCTTTCCGGACGAGCCTGCCTATTATTGCAACAGTGGAGATTGTTGCGTGGCCCTATCACTTGAACTTGCAGTCTTCTTTGTGGGTAAGGTTAATACATTTATTCCATCGGCTTTTTTCTGGGTGGTCGTAATTACTTAACATCGGGTGGACCGTTTGTTCATTTATCATCTTCTCAATGAATTAATAAGATTCGCTATGTACGTTGTTGTATATATGTACATGTATGGATGCAGCGAAACGTACACTACATATATGTACAAAATATGTTTCCGTTAATTGTGTGACGCAAAAGACTTGCAAGTCTCGCGGAAAATAATCTTTGCCTCCTTCAGTGCGTTGTATGTAAGCATAAGTTCGTGTCTTTACATAGTACGCACTGCTAGACAATGAGGTGTGGTTTAAGAAAATATTTCGAAGAAAATTATAATAACGCATGAATTTTAAATTTATTTACTCTGTTAACCGCAAATTTAAGAAATAGTTAGTAGACGTAATTATTGAAAGTATGAAATTAATATATTTACTGTTTTAAGATCTAATTATCTTCCTGACGATATCAGGAAATCAATGAAATAAAATACACTCATTGTCCATGGCTGATTCGTAATGGAGTTTTCCGAGTATATAATATGGTATGAGTCACAACACCAAACTACCGTCTGCTTCTTGACAAGGAGTTGGTACTGTCTACAATCTGGAGTGCTTATTGTTGGTATTTAAGGCGTTCCTCATTTTGGGGAATATTTTATGCTGTTTATTTACTTTTAATTCGCCAATTAATTTATGTGATATTTAAAGCTTTTTCGTGATAGCTCGGTGTCCGGGCGGTCGTTTTGTATTTCAACATACTCCAACAACCTGAGTTCATTTTGAAATACATGTGAAGTCTGCCATTCCGCAGTAGGGTTAATTTTTTAGGCTATAAACGTAATTCGATAATCATACTCACTTTATTAAGTTCGTGAAGTGTCTGCAGTTAATCCTTTTCAACCAACTTTTGTATTTTCAACGTTTTGTGTTACAGATGTCAATGCGATGCGGTAATCACTTATCACTAAGTGCTTATTTTCTTGTATTGGTAAAAAATGTATTTTAACTTCAATCAATGATCCTGATCAATGATCCTGATATTAACAATAGTATAAAAATAATCAATAATCAAATCTCACATAGATTATAAACTGTTAACACTGATGACACGCAAATAAAATATTTGCATTTTAAACAGTCCTCTACGGCTTCTTATGTGGTCACGTAGGTTGTGTGAGGTCATATTGCTCAAGCATATTGCATAGAGATTAATTTCTGTTGTTGTTAAACAGTTCCTTTGTGAAACTTCTACTAAATTTGTTGTAATGTGCGTTGTGTTGCAATAACACCATGGCACTTTGCAGTTATCACTTTTTTACGATTTTAGTCCATAGTGAGAATGAAATCATATTTTAGATTATTATTCGGTATTTATTCTGCGTTTTAATGCATATTAAATCATAGTTTGTGCACACAAGTGCACAGATTGTCAGATATGAAATAGTAGCAATAGCGCGTAGGGCATTCTTTATTTATTATTTTTAGTATAATCACCTAAACTTTTTCGCTGTATTGATAATTTCGTAATTCTTAAATATGCATCCCTTTGAATATTACACGAAATAATGAAGTTCACAAGAAATCCATTACGTAAAACTTCTCACTATTTGCAAACACTATTATGCTTGAATGAAATGACGTCATCCTTTGTGGCGTTTGCTGTCACAAGACATGTAGATAAAAAAAATAAAAATATCTATTAACATTCAGGATGGTATGTGTCAATAAACAAATGTTATAGTACTCCTGCCACGTTACCTTTGACTGCTGAATATTATTTTTTTAATTACTATAGTTACATGTAAGTTTGTGTTGTACACAAAGACCTTCTTTGTTGTACGCATTGATAAGAATTAAACGACTTGTTTAATCTTAAGTTGACACGACCGACGCGACATTTATTAGTTACTAGCCGCCAACAAAGAGCGTTATAAATTCCGCTAATGAATTGCTCCGTTTATTGCATTTATATGAACATCGTTATAGTGTCCCTATCTGTAAGTTCATTGGGTCATGAATTGGTACTTTATGTAGTAGTCATGTTCGGATGACGTACGAGATGATTCATAAGGCAATATGAATGAGGATAATGAGCATTTAATTTATAACTGAAATGCCCTTAGGCACATTATTAAATAATAATTCAATTACTACACTTATTAACAAGTTCGAGGACAATTATCCTGTTTAATTTGTTTTTAATCCGTCAAATTGTTTAGTTATGGGTTATTAGAGGATAATTTAATGAAACTCGTAATAATTTCGAGATAAATTTCCGCTAATTTCGCATTACAATGGGACTTGAACCCACGACCCACGATCCACGACCACGACCACAAGCTAATGAACCTTGGACCTTCTCTGGTCTATTCGGATTCAGATTCCGGCCAGTTAATATACAACGTTATTTAATTTCAGCTAGAGAGTAACTAGTAATTTCTATGAGATAATACTATGCTATTCAGATTTTTTTAAATATTTATTATTTAAAAAAAATATTGCCCTTACTTTAGGATATCATTATCCTGAGTTATAAGGATGGTTTACAAACATAAATTTCCCGTGGACTAACACCCAAATGCGATACAATTGTATGTGGGGCACACAAACAGTTGTCCCGTGTGGGAATCGAACCCTTGATGACATTATCAGTATCTCTTATTCTTTTTTTTTGTACGGAAAAAAGGGGCAAACGAGCAGGAGGTTGACCTAATGGCAAGTGATTACCGCCGCCCAGGAACATCTGTAACACCCGAGGGCTTACAAATGCGTTGTCGGCCTTTAACATTTATTCTTTCTAGTACATGGACAATATTCCGAGTACTACACGATAATTTTATTACATAATGTAATAATATAGTAAATACTGTTTTCTTGTATTTCCGCAGATTTAACTGCAAAGTATTTATAATATCTTGTTTCACTAATCTAATTTAAAATATTGTAATTTAATTGTTCGTACAGCTTCACGCTTACTTTCACGGTATTGCCGTAAGTTGGATAGTCACAGCAGAACAGTCGATGCAATGAATTTTCGGTCGTGTAATATGATCCAGATTGATAATTATGCATCCACTTTAAGCGCAACTTTCCTTTGAACAGGTTTAATTTTTGTGGAGGAGGTGGTGAACGAGCCATTTCGTCAGGGGCAATTCCTTACGGGACAACTCCTTACGGGTCAATAAGCGATCACCGTACGTCAGAATCCAATGAACGAGTTCGTGCGTGTTGTTCGTGCATTCTTTTTTTAATGTAAATTTACCATTTTCACCCATGTAGATAGCTCAGACAAACGCACATTCCTACGAATCATCTGCAAGTGAAATAAGCTATTATACCTTTTGTGGCCGGAAAAATAAATGGATTTGTTTGATGTTTGTTAGAAGACGGAAGATAGAAGGTGGTCAGTAAGTGTATAAACCTTGACGAAACGCCTAAAGGTTGTAAAAAGGAACATCTTAAAGTGTACTAGAAGTTTTTGTTACGGTAACTGGCCAGTGCTTGACCATAAGGCCTAGTAAGTAGGGATTTGACCATAGATGATATACTTACTAGCCCAGTAAAATCCGGTCAGGGTACGGTAAGACAGGCGCAATAAATTCGCGAACAACCGACCAACCGAACAACCGACCAACCGACCAACCGAACAACCGAACAACCGAACAACCGAACAACCGACCAACCGACCAACCGAACAACCGACCAACCGAACAACCGAACAACCGACCAACCGAACAACCGAACAACCGGGAAATAATCACGAAGGGTCAATGCTCACCAGTACGTAAAAGTCCAACTACCTATCTCTTAACATCGTTCTTGGTAATTTCTGGTACAGACCTTCCTCTTTGTGTAACTGAGACTGGTACATGGCTGCTTGCTTGCATCGTTATCCATTCAAAGCCGATACACGAACAAATTCCGGATTACTTCCTATAACCGGCGTAAAATAAGCTTATAGCACGTATCTTCTCCTTGTACGGTCGTCATTGTTTTTTATTCAGTCACGTTTATGTCGACGCGAATACAATGTCATTGTTTTTTTTACATGCTTCATTTAGTTTTGTGACATAATCGAATACTAACTAAATGAAAAAAAATTAAAAACTGAATGAGAAAAAATGATTTCGCAATAGTATTTCTATATAAAATTCAGTTTATAGTTTGGAGTGCACCTTTGACACTTCAAGATACAGGAAGTTATGAGGATATTAAGCTATTAGACAATAACGACGTTAGTCGATAAACAGCTCGATTGTGTGAACTCGTTACAGTAATATCTATTTGTAAAATAATTGCATAGAGATTTAGAAGAATAAGCTATGTTTATTTATCAACAAACATTACTTATCATTTAACCGGAAAAGAAACTGTTGTGTTGAAATTGTACGAGTAGATAGCGAGCCGCTTTGTGGATTCCTTTCGTCAAACTTTCGTTCTTCTAATTTCGAGAATTTTTGGTCGCACCCGTTTATGTCCGTTTAGGTATACAAACAAAATAATTGATTTTACTTCTTTTAATATTCAATTTAACAATGCTCCCTTCCGTCGTAACTGAGAGGGAATGTCATTGAATATTTAACATTTATAAAACATGACACGTTTATATAAATGTTAGCGACGACATTAATCTCGAATGGATGTACATTTTGAAGATAAAAAAGTAACGTAATTGAATAATTTGAATTAAGACCTCCTTGTTAAAATTAACACATTTAAAATTAACACATTAACACATTTATTTCACCTTCAAAACGAGCATTCAACCCACACACGGACGCTCTATTTTCAAGAGATATGCATTCCTGTTCCGTGCAAGAGTAAATAGAAGGAACGTTATCATTCAGTTTCTGAGAAATTGTGCTAAGTATTTTGCTAAATATAACTTATCTTTAACACCGTGCATTCCCGTTTATTTTACAAAAGGGGTCAAGGACTTGCATATTATCGTTCAGCCAGGCCGATTTCAAATATTAAAACGATTGTCCAGAAGTATTGCTTTTATATTTTTTTATGATAGTACAGAAAGCTTTCCATAAACGTAAATTATGTTTCTAATAATTGAGCATTATATCCGTCTTCAATGTTGTTTATAATAAACACATCAAAAGAGTTAAGGAGCCAAGGTATTCATTTATAAACATTTAATGAGCCTATAAAAATTACAATATACATGTATATTGGATTAATAAATATTTTCCTACGTACAGTGACGATATACCTCTGATTTTTCGGAATGACCCACGTTATGGTTATGGAAAAGATTTTCTGGTGTGTGCGGCATACAAACTTAAGTGTTTGTTGAGTGTGTTGTAGATATCCGCGAGACATAATTCTCGCAAACAAGCAGTTCGTGTCAGGGTATTGATCTTAGCTTCAGTAAGTGTGTTTCTTGCGATATGTAGACGAGGGTTGTCGAGAATAAGCTGAAAGGAAGTGCCCAATTGGGATCTAAATGAAATGAAAACTTCTTATACAATCGTTTTAGCGTGAACCGGTTCATTGAGCGTACCGGTTCATCCCTAATCATTTCAGTCCCTTCACCCATTTTAATATCCGATGTTCATATGATTGGTCAACCACAATATTTTTGGATTTCTTAGCGTCCAACCTTGTGGTTTTCGATTTCATGCACATAGTGCACAAATGCTTTGGTCGCTTATCACCCTTACCTAATTACATCCCTGAAGAGCGATGAAGTCTCTCTACCAAATTGTCGCAGTCATTGCAGGTTTCGGTCCGTGCAGTACTGCGTGTGATACGAATTTGGCCTCCATTGTGCTCCGATATGTTCCCAGGGCTGCGATAGTGTCCTAAGTTGACTTATAACACTCTGCTCATTAACCAAAGCGATAGCCACAACACTTCGTTACGAACCAGCTTACAATTCTTCATATTTTCTTCTTGGCACTTGGGAAGAAGTGACTAAGGTCGTCTTTCTCCGTTATAACGTTCCTGTTTATTGAATCGACTCTGTGTGATAAAAGTAGTGCACGTTTAATCTCCAAACCCTTGCTTGATATATGTATTAGATTATAGTAATGTAGTATGTCAATATTTTTTAAATTTTACTGAATAAATTAAAAGGGAATTGCATATATAAGAAATCCTAATTGCTGTGATAAGCGAAAACGGGTTTTATCCCTACATACTTTATTTTTATTATATATTATCACTATAGCATGTATTAATATATCAGACAAATATGACACTTAATGGCTACATGAAGAGCCTATGGAATATGAGATGACTAATTTACCGAAAATCACACACATCTTGCTTCCTGTATAGTAGAAATATTTTAGAGGAACCCCGCAGAGAACGCGTTAGCACCACACGTGTCGGGCCTGTGCAGAAAATCGCTACTAGCTTATGTTTTTCTGCGAAAGACCACCCGGCGCAGGAAGTTGATAACAATATAAAATTGCGAAGAGCAAATAACGAATAAATATTAAAAGTACGAGGAATTTACAGATCGTATAGTATATTGTACATTTTATCATATATATTTTTTTGTCTGATACATACCATCGTTTTTAATTTCCATGCAAACCGTGTGAATACATAGAAAGCTTAATGATTTTTTTAGAATGAGTATGAACAATCGGCCTAATTTCAGATGAATGGTCTTTTCGTTTCTTTGACAATAGCATACCAAAAACAAATTAGGCGTCTCTAAAGATGTCTGTTATTTTATAAAAAAATTCTTAAGTAACTGGGGTTAACAGAATGATAAAAAGCAATTGAACTCACATTGAATCTACTAGACAAGTTTTGGACGTATTAGGGCGAGACGCGGCCGCGAATTTATTCCTCTCACGAAGCGAATTCAGCCGTTAATAATAGTCTCACGAAAGTTTTAATAATTTTATGGATCTAGCGGATAGTATATGCAGTGCCCGATTATCTTGACAACCACTACATTTTTATGGACTGTGCGCATTCCGGATATTCGATTTCGTTTTCCACACCTAAGTCGGACGAGTCGATTTCATTGACCCGCTAACAGGTTCGCAGTGTTATAATGTGTTGGCCGGGGAGATTTAATGTGGAGCGACCGTAATTACTTATTCACCGATATCATAATCGTTTATGACAAGTTTAACCATTACTAGTTTGGCACTTTTTCCACTTCTGTTGAGTTTGGATGAATGTATTCTGGCTTTAGAAAAAACACGTTTCTTGAGTTGCCACACGAGATATTAATAAAACTTTTGTTAGTAATAACCGACCAGATTGTTTTATTGCACTGATATATTATAAATAATGTAATAATTTGTTCGATAACGTTTACATTTATTGATTGATATTTTCCTTTTAATAATAATTTTATTGAAGAAAAGAGTTATTCATTAGTATTGTTATAATGGATTGTCTGTATAATAAGTTTACTTGAATTTCTCTCTACAAAGAGGAGGAAAGTCTCTGCGTCTTGTATACGATTGTTCTTCCTGTTAGTTGTTGGTTCTTATTTAAACTTACTTCTCCTTTGTAAACTTATTATCGTTTTGTGCTTCTTTATGGTCTGCCATGCATTAAGCGCGGATGCGGTTCACGTTATTGTTATGCTAATGATACTAGGGGCTGTAGATCGTTGTCGGCGCCTTGTTAATCTTTAACCGGATCGGCGGATCGGCTTCCAGTATTCTGTGAGGTTTTTTGGGTTTTCCTCGGTAGTCTTGTTCATGCGAAGACTAGCACAACCACTGTTTCGTGCACGTATGATGTTATCCACAGTATCTGTTATGTGTCAACACATAATAAATATCATGTTAGAGCTTTTGGGAATTACCTAAGAGTTAGAGAAGAGGGCATAGAGAAGAATTTTTTCTATTTTTCAATTTTGCCTCGTTAATGAGATAATCGAAGCTAAGCCTCTTAATATATAGCTATGCAACCGCAACGACACAGCTATTTCTGTGTATACACCGATAGTGAAACCACAGCCGGTGTTGTTCCCTAAGGAGAAATGAAAAACATATAGTCACGAGCACGTCATAACTTCCAGGTACACGACAACGATAAGGGTCTCCGAGCAGCAGCCGTACCAGGTGAAGGAGTACTCGTGGTGCTTCAACGTGCCGCCGCGCTGCTCCAAGTACAAGATTAAGTTCCGGCAGGTGTTCAAGACGCAGACGCTGGTGAAGCACCGGCCGGTGGAGGAGTGCTGCGCGGGGTACGCGCCCGACTCGGAGGGCGGGCAGTGCGTGCCCGTGTGCGCGGACGCGTGCGTGCACGGCAAGTGCGTTGCGCCGAACACGTGCGCGTGCGAGCACGGATACGGCGGCCCGGCCTGCGATATATGTGAGTAGGGGGATCAGGCCTAAGGCCCGCTGTTCACTGTCCGCGCGCTTAAAGACGGCTGTTCACTGTCCACGCGCATAAAGACGGCTGTTCACTGTCCACGCGCATAACGGAGAGTTGACTCAGGGCCAAGGAACAGATTAAAGAATTTTTAGGTAGTCAAGATGGTGCATGTGGAGCCTCGCGGCCAGACCGAGTGCACCCTCCGGCGATTCGGCTCATATAAGCGCGAGGTTGGTGGGGCCATGGGAGGTGGTGGGTTGTCCACGCGTGTAAAGCTGGCTGTTCACTGTCCACGCGCATAAAGCCCACTGTTCTCTATCCACTATCCACGCGCATAAAGCCCGCGTTCACTCTCCACGCGTATAAAGCCGGCCGTTCACTGTTCAATGCTTGTCCGACGCGAATGCGTTGACAGATCGGATGCGCTTGCTCGCTTTCAAAGTAGCTATTTTTAAGTTCACGCTTCGTTGTATGCCTTATTTTTAAGATAGTTTAAGGAATAAGTACCTGGAGGACCGAGCTTTGCTCGTTTTCTTTGGTAAATCATATATTTTGGAAAAAAAAAAGAAAGCAATGATCTGGTATAGAAAAAAAAGTAAAAACAAAAAGTGTAAATGATCGTGAAACGAACCGCGGCCGTCTGTATTGGGGCCGTCCGATTACCGACCGAGACTATTATAACATTTTTTATGCGGCGAAATTTACCGTCATATTCGAATGATATTTTTCATTCCCTGAAAACAGGGATAAAAGGACATTTTCTAAAAATGAAACCTAGCTAGATCGATTTTTCGCCCCCGAATCTACGCACAAACTAAATTTAAAAACTAAAGAACTAATCAATGAACAAAATAAAACCCCAAAATTTTTTATTTGATGACTTTTTCATGGATCTCAAGAACACTTATCTGTACTACAGCAAATAATGTGATATAACTTTTATTTCCGGATGTAATACATGTGTAATATCCCACAGTGAGTTAGTTGCCAGCTACACTTTACGGCCATCAATTGATGCCAATCTCGTCGCCCGTCTGTCCCCTAATTGGATTTAAAAACAATTGTGATTCAACTCGTCCGATTTACCGTTCCGCTGGCACTCGTCGGTTTCTTTTTTCCATTTGCAAACAATCCGTCCTCACCCAAATGATTTCGAATGGGTTCGAAGCGCTTGATACTTGTTATACAAATTATTTTGTTTTTTAGTTTTTTTTTGTTAAATCTAGTGTAAATTGAGGATAAAACATTGTTGCCGTGATATCGTAACATGTTGTGTACGCATATTTTTGGCTGACAGTATGTAATCGTTATCTCATTTAACTTTATTGTGATGTGTATATTACTGTTTGCTGTTTTGAGTACCGAATAGAATAAAATAAAAATTTGTTATTGAAAGATTGAACATGATATAAGTATTACGAGAGATTTGTAGTAAAGCTCTGACTTGGATATAAGTTGTTATTACGATTACTATCCAAAGATTACGTGGAATGATCGTTAATGAAGGAATAATTAAATAAACGAGATTAAATTCGTGAATACACTTTCATTTAGCAATTAGTTTTCTGTTAACTTTTCAAATATTGTTAATCTGATCGTAAGAGTACATTTAAAAAATATAAACTAAATGGTGTCTCGTTTTTAGTGTTAGTAATTTGTAAACATATTGTCTATTAATGATATTTTAATATCATCGTTCTTTAACGTGACATACAACTGCTGACAACATTCGATTTCTAATCGACACTGTTCTAGTTAGCATCGCTAACGTAAATTGTTTGAATTGCCCTCAAAATAGTGTTTTTAAACTATATTTCTTTTTTATTTATTCGTTTATAATTAGAATAATAATTTAAAAACCAACTGAGTTTGTTTGCAATAAGTATTATAATTGCAAACTATGGACAATAAGATATGTGACTTTTATTTAGTTGATATTAAAAATCGCTAGTTTGACGATGATCTCACTCGTGCAAATATTTCACGTAATTTAGTCTTAATAAAGATAGCCGCTTTATCTAAACTAAAATATTTAGCAGATTTTATCATGTTGAAATTCATATTGATCCCCGACGTTTAAATTGCTGCGCAGTATTCATGGTTGCGAGGGGGTCTGGGTTTCAATTATGATAATAATTAACTAGCTCGCTCCGTGTCTTTGCCCGCGTAGTTATGTTGAAGCAAATTTTTACTAATTTAATAGCGGCGCGAAGACTACCACCCAATGATAGGGCGATTGCCAAATTGTTTCCATTTTAAAAAATTCCAAAGAAAAAGTCAAGGCAAAATATATCTTGCTGAGCAATAGTAAATATAAATGCATCTTGTGCGAAGATAACAACGCGGTCTAATCTTGCCCCTACGAACAAGGTTATTATTCGGTCTCATTTTTGTACGCTCTTTGAACTGCGTGCACTCGCAGTACATTAAAGTTTTGCGCTTGCTGTGCAGCGTGCCCGGACGGCAAGTGGGGCCGCAACTGCCAGCACGAGTGCCGCTGCATGAACGGCGGCACCTGCGAGCCGCTCACCGGCGAGTGCGCGTGCGGGCCCGGCTGGCGGGGCGACGCGTGTGAGCGCCCCTGCCCACCGGACAGCTTCGGCGACGGCTGCGGCCAGGGGTGCCAATGTCAGAACGGGGCCGCGTGCGACCCGGCTAGCGGCGCCTGCGACTGCGCCCCTGGATTCACCGGCCCGCTGTGAGTGTCATCTGTGTCACCCTTCGACCATGCATGGCCTGGTGATTAGCTTACAACAGATATGGCGACCGTGTCGTGCGCGGCAGGGCTGTTTAGGCGTACTGTAGTGGGTTTCTTGATTTTTCTTTAAAAAACGACATCCGTATTAATATATTATGACGTCATAAATCACGATGAGAGTCAAAGGCATGAACTTAGGGGCACAATTCGAAACCCAATAGCAAATAGCGACATTTGGCTCGTTTACTTTATCTGATGATACATGGTAAAATTATTAGTGATGTTGTACTGTTTGCTGACGATACATCGCTTATTTTTAAAGTTGACCGAAACGTATTAAATTATGACGACGTGAATAGTGCACTTTCACATTTCCTCCACTGGTTCACTATTAATAATATGGTATTAAATGCCAAAAAAACCAGATGTATTCTTTTCACCCTTCCCAGTATAAGAAGGAAAAGTTTTAGTTTAATATTAAATAACGTACCCATTAATCCAGTTGAGTCTGCTGTATTTCTGGGAATTACAGTAGATTCAAAGCTCCAGTGGAGTCCCCATATATCATCTCTTGCGAATAGGCTGAGCTCCGCGGTTTTTGCGATTAGAAGGGTTAGGCAGCTAACAGACATCGACACTGCCAGACTTGTTTACTTTAGTTATGTTCACAGCATCTTGTCGTACGGCATTTTGTTGTGGGGTAGTGCATCAGATATAAATTCTATATTTATTCTTCAAAAAAGAGCTGTCCGAGCAATCTACAATATCGGAGCCCGGAATTCACTCAGAGATCTTTTCAAAGAGGTTAATATACTCACTGTTGCTTCTCAATACATTTATTGTAATGTTTTATATATACGTCATAACCTTAATTATTACCTAAAGAATAGTGACAGACATAAAATAAACACTAGAAATAAGGACAAACTTACTACGCCAACAACAAACTCTACAAAAAGTAAATAAGTCTTTCATGGGGCAGGGTGTGCGCATGTGTCGCATACCATTTAATAAAATTAAAATCCTAATGATAAATGAAACAATTTTACGGATTTATCGCGTTTATTTTTAATTTTAATTCCCGTCGATATTTAAGTCTGGTCACGCAGACATGAACGCTGTACGAAACAATTTAAATGCGATAAAAAAATTAAAATCAACTAATGATTAAAGCATATTATACCATTTCGGAATATCTCGACGACGCCAATGTGTGGAGTTGATACTGTTGATACTCACGTAGCCTAGAATAAGACTATTGTACCTGTTTATTATATTGTAAATTGATACTTTTGAAAAAGAGCAACTGTTGAGTTTCTTGCCGGTCTCTTCTCAACAGAAACTGCTCTCCGAACCGGTGGTACCTTACGAACCTATACACATAATCTTTGATGTAAAATTTGACGATTCATAAGAGCGCGCAAGCGTATATTTGAATAAATATATTTTTGATTTTGATTTTGAAAAATATAATAAAACAACGATGATAACCACGAGTTTCAATAATTGTGTTTGAATTTTGAAATACGTGCAAATTTTGTAGGGCTCAACAGACTCAGTCACTCTTCTGTTCAGTTGTTACCGAACAGAAAGAGAAGTAGAGCTTCCTAGATGTGTTACGAGTAATTCTCTTTCATTGCGCAGTTGTGAAGAGAAATGTCCCACTGCCGAGCCGTGTAGGCAAGAATGCAGATGTCAAAACGACGGGAAGTGTAACTTCGTTACCGGAGAATGTCAGTGCACGCCTGGTTGGACCGGAGAAGTGTGTGCGAACAGGTATGAAGAGTTAACACTAAAAATAGGCAGTTAAAATCACAAAATACTAATTAAAATTGCAGTAGTGCATTTCATATATGAAAATTCACCAAATAACCTATTAATTTTGAGTGAGTTATAAATTTTTCATAAAATTTTATAAAACTTATTTAAAAATGCGTGAAAAAAATATTCTCGCAAATGTAACAAAATTCCTAAGCCACAATTTGAGACTGGTAGTAATTAAAATGTCTGAATAGCAATTAGCCACAAATCGAACATGCAATCGTTGGAATCAATGATATCTGCAGATTGTGTATTTTGTTGGTACTGTATAATCTAGACGCGAGATCGTTACGAGACGAAGTTGTAATTTCATTTTTAAAGATTAGGTAAAACATAGGATTAAAGTACCTACGTAACACATATTGCATTGTGTGACAAGCGTAGTTGACTTCGCGAGGTCGGTGTAGGTGATAAGTGTATAAATCGGTTAATAAAACTAAAAGCCTTTTATATTTTTGCCTTTCTAATGGCTCGGAGTACGATAAGGTTTTATATAGACCGAACAGCGAAACAGTCCAACAAAAAGAAATCGAGCTTAACAAAACTACGGAATATCGCCGTTATATAAATAGCAATTTTGTTCACGAATGTACACAAACGTGATGGGAGCAAGGCAGAGAGAGAGAGAGAGAGAGAGAGAGAGCGCAATATACTCTCCCGCACACTGCATGTAACCAGTCCGATATGTTAATTAGAGCTTCAGATGCATTAAAGTTTGCCCAGTCTTATTAACTTTCGCCTTATTACAGATGTCCAAACGGGCGATGGGGCGACAAATGTCAGAAGACGTGCGAGTGCGCGAACGGCGCTGGCTGCCACCACGTCACCGGCCATTGCCAGTGCGAGGCTGGCTTCACCGGCGAGAAGGTTGGCTGAAAGAATGCTAGACGAAATAGTGCAAAAGTAACCGCTTATCGTCGAGTAATTCGAATTAGGAAAGAACTTCAGTTTCTTAGGACACGTACAACGGGGCACAGGATACGAGGAAGTTACAAAAGAAATATTTATTTGCGAGCGGGACTCGTTATGCACAACTTGCTTTGTTGCAAACAGGTTATAATTGAACCGCTGACTGATTTCGTAACGCAATAATTATTTAATATCATTTTTCGCACAGAAGTTGTAGATTTCCATGGACGGTTATTAAATGATATCGGGGGAATTGTTTCGTCGCCTATTTAGAAAAGAAAGTGTATAAAGAAAAATAAATAATAAATAATTTTCAAAAGTTTTAACGTCTAAAAAGGCTTAACGCCGCGGCTGGTGACAAAAAAGCTGATTCTTTTCTCGTTCAAAGTTAAGCTTAACTATTCAGCGAGGAAATGCAGCAAGCGTTCTATGCACCGTGCCGCGTGGATTAGGTTTATTAGATAAAATGTAATTTTAGATAGATAAATATTGTAAATATTAGGTAAATAAATTGACATTATAAAAAAAATGATTGGAAGAAACGTTCACACCATTCCCAGCTCGACATTGAAGTGCCTTGAATGTGACTAGCAGTCGTCGGGCCTATATAAAATCGGCATTCAAAAAACGAACGCGGAAAAGTTGCTTGCCAGTGCTGTCGAGTGCAGCAAGGAGGTTATATTCTGAAGAAAACGAAACCTCCTCACGACGCATTGTACTTGCAGTGCGTCGACCCCTGCCCGGTGGGCACGTACGGCGCGGGCTGCCAGGGGGTGTGCGCGTGCGAGCACGGCGGCGAGTGCTCGCCGCGCAACGGCACGTGCGCGTGCAAGGGCGGCTGGCGCGGCGAGCGGTGCGAGTCGCGCGCCTGCCCCGACGGCAAGTGGGGTGCGCGGTGCGACCGCGACTGCGAGTGCAACCCCGCCACGACGGACATGTGAGCGGCGTCTTTTGTATTTAAATCTTTACTCGCAACGAAGACTGATGGTGTGACTTATCCCACCCAGGTGGGGTCGGTACAAAATCTGAGTTGTGTTTTGTAAGTGGTTTTGGCTGGGTTTTTATTTCGGGCGGCGGCCTGACGTCAAACCTCCTTGGGAACAAACACCCAGATCATAAACACATCTGTGGATCATACAAATACTTGTTCCGTATAGGAATCGAACCCATGACCCCAGGCGCCGAAGCCAATGCGTCACCGAGTACCACCAAGGCCGCTTACAAACACAACCGACTTTTTGAAACATCACCCGTAAATTAACACGTGTTGCTGAGTGAGACATGTGAGTGAAGCCGGTACTACGGTAGAATACCTTTTAAGTAAAGTACCGTTTAAGTATAGAAATAGACTTAAATCATATATTGGAAAAGTGGCAGTGTCAATACGGGGCAAGTTGTGACAAGTGCATTTTTAATTGCGGTAGCGCCAACTGTGAAGACAGTTGGCGCTACCGCAATCGCAACCTGTTGCAAAAATGGGCAGATCCGTCCGGGAAAGTACCACTACCTTAGAGGACCGGCGTGGAGTGGGAGTGTTACTACGGGTGTTGCTAATGTCCTTGGGCGACGGTTATCACTTCTCATCAGGTGTACCGCCAGTTGTCACGTTCTCACATAAAAAACCAGGTGCGACCCGTGGACGGGCGCGTGTGACTGCGCAGCCGGCTGGGGGGGCGAGACGTGCTCGCGCCAGTGTCCCCTGCTCACCTACGGCAAGGGCTGCCGCTCCACCTGCCGCTGCGAGAACAGCGGACACTGCTCCCCTGTCAACGGTAATCTATTCATCGGTTTAATTTATTCACAGTTCATCTCTATTCTGCTGTGATAGGGCCGAGTAGCAGATTCTGTGGCATGAACGGGCAGTCGTGTCCGTGGAAATACCAAACCCGCACATCGGACGCGTGAGGCGACCAAGACGTATTTTTCTGCGAACGTTACTGTACCCTTTTAGTAGAGACATAACTCTCGTCTCGAAGGCGCCCAGGTCTTATCTGCGAACGTAACTGTGCCCTTTCAGAAGAGACGTGGCTCCAGTCTCGAAGGCTCCCAAATCGTATTTTTCTGCGAACGTTAATGCCCCCTTAAGAGTCGTGGCTTTCGTCTCGAAGGCGCCCAAAACGTATTTTCCTGCGAACGTTACTGCGCCCCTTCAGAAGAGACGTCTCTCTCGTCTCGAAGGCGCCTAAGTCGTACTTTTTTTGCGAACCCCCCTTGCCCCCAGGCTCGTGCCTCTGCGCGCCCGGCTACCGCGGCCTGCGCTGCGAGGAGGCTTGTCCCTTCCCCAAGTACGGCGACAACTGCACGGACACCTGCCAGTGCCACAACAACGCCACGTGCTCCCACGAGACCGGCCAGTGCGACTGCCCGCCCGGGTAAGCTGTGACGTCATCACGAATGCGCCGCGAAGCTAGCCACGCAACTTCACAATGTCTTGTACGACCGGAGTGAAGTTAGCTACAGTGAGATACAACTTATCCTAATGGAATGATTTGTACGAAACGTGCTCCGAATTTAACGAGCGCTAGACATTTCTTGTTTTAACTCGCCGTTATGTTACCGTAAGCCGCATGTTGGTGCTGATATATAATTTAAAAAATCAATGAATAAATAATTGCTCGTTTTCGTTTCGTAAATTCCGTATATTTTGAGTTCATAAGTATGACACTCAACTTAACATCGTGATCATATTCTCTTTGGTTGGCTCAGATTTTTGAGATATTCTTTGTAGCGACAGATGCAGAAATTGCTTTATGTTTAAAAATCTATCTGTTATAGTTAAAATGATGTATGTTCATGGTTCACGAAACATACATGATAATAAGTATTTATACCATATATAATACAATAAAATAAGTATTATAATAAGAAGTTTCATGTCATTTGGTATCAATCTATTAAAAAAAATAGGAAGTATTAGTTGAAATTTCACAAACACATGTTATTACTCCCCGGCTAATCGGCCTTTAAGTTGAACAACGCTGTAAAAGTTAATATTCAAAAACAGATATTTTTTCCTATTTTTTTTGTACAATACAGACTTGTGCATGATTTATGTTATGACAGATTTGACGGACTGAAGTGCGACCGACCATGCGATGGAAAAATGTTCGGGCTCAGATGTCGTCAGCCATGCAACTGCGAAAATGATGCGCCGTGTAATCCTGTGAACGGTAAACCTATTAAATGTTTTTTTTTTTAATTCAAAGCTTGTTGATGATTCCAATCATAAGCGAAACTTTAGATAATACTCGAGTATAATTTTGAAGTGTAATAATTCTTCTTACTTTTGGCCCTATGTCGTCGTGGGATGATTACATTTGTAATTTATTTGCCCTGTGCCAGTGAGAGAAATTGTCAGTTATATTGTTTTATCTGAAGTGAGTAGAGTATTTTGAATTAGAGTATTTTTTTTACCTGAAGTTAAGCTTTCTGTCTAGAGAGTATAAAATTTCATTTAATACCTAACTTGTGGAAAAGTAAGCTCAACGAGTTGGAGATACTTGAGTGTTAAAATGGCTGGCACGCACCTTTGCTGCGTATTACGAGTTTTCTTTAATTCTCTGATAATGTTTTATCGGAATGTAGTAATGTACTCCCTCGTATAAAATCTTGAGCAGTAGCAGCACAGTGGGGAAAAAGTTCTCGCATGTCCAGTCTAAATTGGTACACCCGATACCCCGTCCTGAAATCGACTAGTGCGCAGTCAAGTGAATTTTTCAAGATGTCTGCCGGTCGCTTTATGTCTACGAGGCGTAAGAGTCGTGGACAATCGGGGGATGCGAATGGCAAAGTGTCGTTCGCTGTGGTGTTCTAAGGGCCTTTGATCAAAAGTGGGCGTGTTCCGGCTAATTATGATGATGATGATGGTAGTGATGATGATGATGATGATGGTGATGATGATGATGGTGATGATGATGATGGTGATGATGATGATGGTGATGATGATGATGTGTAACGTAGGCCCGTTCGGGCGTTGCAGGCGAGTGCGTGTGCGGTCCCGGTTACGTGGGGCCGCGCTGCGAGCGCCGCTGCGCCCCCGGCTTCTACGGGGAGGGCTGCGCGTTGCCCTGCGACTGCTCACTTAACGCGCTCGGCTGCCACCACGTGACCGGGCAGTGCGTCTGCGAGAGCAGCTGGCGAGGTGGGTACCGCGGTGGCGCTGCGGCGTACGCTGCTCTGTGGCTTCTGAACGCACGAGTACGGGGGTGGGGCTGGTTGGGTGTGTATGGTGGCGCTGCGGTGTCGACTGCGCTGTGGTTTTTCAGCCTGCGAGTAGATATGAACGCGCTAGAACCAAGGTAACCGACATAGCTCAGAGGATTAGCAAGCTGAAGTAGCGATGGGTCGGCCATATAGCTCGCAGCACCGATAAAAGTTTGGGAAGAAAGGTTCTCGAGTAGCAGCCTCGTACTGGCCATCGCAGTGTAGGACAACCCCCCACTAGATGGAGTGACGACCTGTGCAAGTGTGCGGCAAGTCGATGGATGCAAGAGGCTCAGGATTTGTGCTTCGTGGCAGGCTATGGGGGAGGCCTATGTTCAGCAGTGGCCTCAAACAGGCTGAAATGATGATGATGATGAGGAGATATGCGGGCGTGTGCGACAATAGCTGGTTGGGTGTGTGCTGCAGTGGCGCTGCGGCCTTGTCTGCGTCGGGGTTTCTTAGTCTGTGAGTAAAAAGATGTGTGCTAGAGCGGCTGGATGGTAGTGTGCCGTGGGGGCGCTGCATGATTCTGAGCTGATGAGTGCAAATACTGGGCGGGTGCGGGAATGTTTGGCTGCGCTGTGGTGGGTAGGCTCAAAACAATCCTTAGCATTCCTCGAATGAAAAATGTGGATGCAAATCTGGTAATTGATGATGTTGCTGCGCTGACAGCAACGTGGTATTTCGGATCATGGGCACTGCAGGCATTTCATGACGAGATAGTGTTAAGCACCTGGTAAGCTTGGTACTGTAATTGCGCTGTGCCTTGGTGACATGATAGTGTTTTTGTGATTGTGATTAATCGCAGTTCTCGGAAAGAATCCTTTAATGACGGTGTGGTATCACAAATAAAATCATTAAAGCTAAAATTAATAACATGCAACCATTAACTATCGTTGCTTCTAAGCTTTTAGTAGTCTTTTTAGTCTCATCAAAAAAAAAAATTAAGATCGTCGCCCAATGTTTTAATCATAAAAACTCCTCTGACCTATATCACATGCTAGCATTACACATCGAATATAACTGTAAATAGTGATTAATTTAATATTGGGTTTTTACAAAAAAAAAATCCCTTTTTTTACATCCATATAAAATCCGTGTTGCAATAATTGATTCGTTCATCGCACAAATCATGTTTCATTATTTTTAATTAATACAGGTCTTGCTAGGAAAAGAGGTAAGTGGGTATATGAATTAAACGATTCAATATCATTACAAACCATTTCTGAGAACGCGCGTGTTTGATAACTGCTATGTAATTATAATGATTAATCGAGCACGGTACGATAACCTTAAGCGAAACGTTACGTTGTGGCATTCATTGTTTACTAAGCTTTTATGTGACCCAGTATCGACATACCAAATTAAAAGACTCCGTGGCGCAGTTGTCAACGTATTGGCTTCGGCGTCGGGGGTTGTGGGTTCGATTCCCACACGAGACAACTATTTGTGTGACCCGCAGACAGCTGTTTCGCATCTGGGTGTTCGTCCGTGAAATTTTATCTTTGTAAAATGTCCTTACAACACAGTATAGTGACACTTAGTAAAAGTAAGGGAAATGTTTTTAAAAGCAATCAGACGTTTCGCATCAGACGTGCTCGGGAAGACGATGTTTTATGACACCGGCTGCGACAACGCCACCGCATCGCGGAAGGACGTCCTAACAACGTTCCACAGCGACGAGGACCCCGTCAAGGTGATATTTATGAAGAGGAACAATGAGGTCGAAACAAAAAGCACCGAGGCGCAGACGAGCGAAGATTCTATCGGAGAAATTGCCAAGAGCTGCCTCACGTGGCAAACGACGGGTGGCGCGTTCGATTCCCGAATTGCGCTAATGGCCACGGTAGAAACGCTGCGGGAATACGAGCGGTGGGAGCCGAAGGCTTACCTAACGATCGTCGGCGACAAAATGTCCCTATTGAGGTCTAACAACGTGCTGTGGAAGATAAGATTCGACAATAAGAGGATTTACCTGAAAAACTTCCTGTCCGGATATTTGCCTAATAATTGATGACGTTCAATGTAAAATAATAAATTTGCGTAAATATAACAGATATGTTAAATTTGTTCGATGATTTTTTTTGAGGCGTACATGATAAGCAGATCCCAGAACCTCTGTTGGTTTCCTTTGAATTGAGGGAAGTAGGGTCATTAATGAAGATTCGAGTTATATCGTCACAAACTTGTTGGTCTTATATTTTAAGAAATAATATATTGATTCGGTGCTAAACAATAAAATAAACGTAAATTAGTAGTTTTTTTTAAATGTTGAGTTATGTTTTAATCATTGTAATGAAATCTTTTTCAAAAACTGGCTACTATAACCATTCCATCGTTAAAGCACACAATTGTGTGTCATGAAAATGAATATTTATAATAAATATAAGTATTCCTATTTAAAAAATTGAATAAGAAAAAAAGTCTAAAGCCACCTTAAAACTAGGTGTATTATTTTAAGTACATCTTCATTTTTACCCAAACAAATCTCACTTTAAATATAAACTATAAATCCATTGTTACGCTATAACCGCTATAACCAAGAATCTTTCTTATTGATCTATTTATTTTTTTATAGTATTTTATGTTGCTAATGAGTTACATAAATTGTCTTCCTTCAAAAGTCATCAAACACTTCAAGTTTTAGATCCATGTTTGATCATGAATCTGTAGTTGTCTCTTTTTAGTTGTATTTTTAATGGTAAATACTTATTTCGGCGTACGGGAGATCGAAACAGATACATGCGAGGGGGCAGCAGGTCGCGTAAAACTTAAATAAACCCTGAGTTCATTCATAGGCCAGCCAAACTCTTGTATGATTGTACCGCCAGTCAAGCGCATGCACCGTAAAGTGCAAAAATCGCCTGATAAATCTGGTGCCTAAAAATATTTACAACTTCAAAAGATTTCTTCGGGGGATCAGATTCTGTTTGAGTCGAGTAAAACAATCGTTAACACGTCTAGTCTCGGAGCGACAACTTATGAGCAGTAGTCACTCGCCTACGCATCGACGCTACTTAACTGAACCAATCCTAAGCTACGGTAGTTATTGAAGTGTAAATCGACTTCAATTCGAAATCCCGGGGCCCGCTTTCGTATAAGGCAATCTGCAACCCTACGGGTGTTGCAAATGTCCATTGGCGGCGGTTGTCACTTGCCACCGGGTGGACCACCCCGCTTGCCATCTCACATAATTTTTTTTTTTCAATTGAATCGCGTGCAGGCGTTCGCTGCGAGACTCAGTGCCCGCCGGGGCTGTTCGGCGAGCGGTGCTCGGAGCGCTGCCCGTGCGCGAACAATTCGTCGTGCGACGCGGCGACGGGCCGCTGCCAGTGCGCGGCCGGCTGGAGCGGGCCGCGCTGCGAGCTGCCCTGCGAGCCGGGCCGCTACGGCGCCGGCTGCGCGCAGATGTGCCCAGAGCCGCCGGACGGTGGGTCGCACGATTTATAAGTGTAACGCACCCAATGATGTTTTAATAGCGATGACGCATGTCCACACTGCGTGGCGTATAAAATTGTGCCGCATTACATTGTATGACATATATAAGTGATAGGTCAGTGTCCGTGCGCTCGAGCAACGTGAGTTCGATCCCCGGTGCCGGGACCTATGAAATTGTTAATTTTAAGTGCTGACTTATAACGTCCTCAGCGGTGAAGGAAAAGAAGTTCACTAATCCGAAGTGGGGCCGCTTGATGGACTATGACCTGATACCCTCTGTACAGAAGGCCTTTGCCCAGCAGTGGGACATGTATAGGGTGATACTCTATGTTTGTGTAGTATGCTTGCAGCGACGTGAAAAGATTTATATGCTGTAACAAAATAAAGGCGAAGCCGACTTCATTTGTTTATTAGATTTTATTTCATTTTTGTGAGTTACAACTAATATGTTTCCTTACTTCGTCGAAATGTATCTAGGTATGCTAGTACACTTAGTTGCTGCAATTTAAAATTAACCCCTTTTTCACCATACATGTTATGCTGTTTAGTACGTGGCAAAGTGTTAGCTAATGTTTTCGGACTTTGGTGTTTGTATTTAAATATTGTTGAACCCAAAAAATTTATTGTATCTCGGGTCGCAAGTCGACGTCTCCAAAAACTACGCCATCACTGCTGAAATGAAAGACTTTCATAAAATAATCATTTCTAAATAAACTAAAAATAAGTGTTCGAGTATAGTTACGTTATTTGTCAACATTTTTTTGCGGCGTGGAAGTCACATCAGTTTTGACTGTTATTGTTTATTTTGTCCATGGAAGGGAGTTCGATCGCAACAAACTGTTGGGTATTTAGTTTTATAACAAGCCAAAGCTGATTATAAGAATTGTAGGCGTTACACTCAAAACAAATATCTTGCTGAAAACTCACTCCTCTTCAACTGTTATGTACTCTATTTAAGAAGTGATTTAATTCAAATAAAAATGTGACTTTACCAACTAGCGTTTAGTTCAATTCGAGAGCGGCAACCATATTCCTCCTTAGTATCGATTGCCGTCGGCTTGTAACATTAAACAATGTCACAATTCAATACGTAAACCAAATCAAACAATGCTAACAATGCTGTTATTCAAACCCGGCAATTGTTACGTAATAGCTCGCTTTCGAGAGCCGATTACGTGTTTACACGATAATTTCTTTTATTTACGCGATAACACATTATTACTAAATGATTACCACATTAACGGATTTTTTTTAATGTTGAAATGTCCGATTTTATTTAGCGATCACGTTTTTATTTTCTCTTTTCAGGCAACACTACTTGCGACCCGGTGACTGGCAAGTACGCGTGCCCCAGCGGCTACACGGGCGTCACCTGCGAGTACCCCTGCCCGCTCGGCACGTACGGCGTGAACTGCGAGCAGAAGTGCAACTGCAAGAATGGCGCCGACTGCCACCACGTCACCGGTATGCGGCGCAACGTCTGCTTTGTATGATGATGATGATGATGATGATGATGATGATTTATTCCGACCGATTTCGGTCATGGCGACCTCTTCGACTCCTAATTGATTTGGCGCTGATGCGCCTGAAAATGGCTAATATAGCCAATCTTGGCGGCAAACTCTCTTGCACAGTGAGGGCAGGTGAGTTCGCCGCCTACATAGCTATAAAGAATGGTGGCGGCTGGACGGGCCTTTAAGTCATCATGCTTAGCATCGCTGCTTTGTATAACCAACTGTGGTAGAGCCACGCAGCAGCCTCGGTTGTTGCACGAATGGGCAGGCTCGTACGGGTAAGTACCACGACCTCACAGAAGGCCGGCGTGAAGTGCAAGTATAATACTTTCGCGTTTCGTCTGGTGAGTGAGGTAGACCAATTTTCAGAAAGGTTGTCAACGCATCTGCAAACCCGCGGGTGTAGCAGATGTCCATTGGCGTAGATATTCCCTTAACATCAGGTGAACTCGCCGTTATATTTGTATCATGGTGATTAATTTCAGAATAAAATTAGATTATACTCAAAACCTGTATTTAAAGATAATATTCTAAAAATTTCAAGATTTTCCGTAGGTACTAAAAAAAATACACGTGATTTTGGATGGGCAGTCGGGGTTAGTCTTAAACCTCACCACGTATCACCAAAGGGGTGGAGGGGGTAAAAAATGCTAGAAAAAAACCTCACGGATAACAATGGCTAGATTTAGAGGTCTGGAGCCCTTGGTCTCAAATTATTTTCTATTGCTTTCTGTTAACATTTAATGTAAAACTCGTCTGTGGGGGCCCCGATCGCTCCCCCAACTCCGGCCCCGAGGCCTGTGATGTAACCGTGCTCGTTTCGCGGCCAGGCGAGTGCCAGTGCCTGCCCGGCTGGCGGGGCGCGCAGTGCGGCGAGGCGTGCCCCAGCAGCTGGTGGGGCGCGGGCTGCTCGCAGCCGTGCCGCTGCGCGCGCGGCGCCGCCTGCCGCCCCAACGACGGCTACTGCCGCTGCCCGCCCGGCTACACGGGCGTCTACTGCACGGAGTGTCAGTGTTCCTTGTTCACCAATTACGGGTTGCGCAGCGGAGGGCCATAAAATAACGATCTAATATGAAATAATATTTAATGAAGGAGTACCTGGTGGACCGGTTTTTTTTTTTGGTAAATCATGTATTTTGGTATAGAAAAAAAAAGTAAAAAAATAAGTATGTAAATGATCGTGATACGAACCGCGGCCGTCTGTTTTGGGGCCGCCCGATTACCGACCGAGCTATTATAACATTTTTTTTGCGTCGAAATTTACCGTCATATTCGAATGATATTTTTCATTCCCTGAAAATAGGGATAAAAGGACATTTTAAACTTAATGCACATACTGCATGGTAATGCACATACTTATGGCACATACTAAATTTAATGAAAATCGCTGGAGCCGTTTCCGAGATTCCGATTATATATATATATATACAAGAATTGCTCGTTTAAAGGATAAGATTACAAAAGTTCCTTAACTAAGTTTAATACTAATAAATTAAGAAACTAAGGGGTGTCCGAGCGGTCCGTTAGGATGACGAAAGGCGCCGAGCTTTGCCGGTGGTCGGTTTTATTGAAGAAAGCACCGGGACAATATTCATAGCTACCGTACCCACTTACAACGCATGCATTTGCTCCCAACCTTGATCTTTGCTTACTTCAGTTTCCCTGCATAATGTCCCTAGAACATAGCGTAATCTTATCTTACAGTAGGAGTATTATTCTATGTTCTTTTTCTTGAAATTAATAAACGAGTACGCGTAACATAACCACTGCCATATCTAGTCCACTAATCGTGACTTAATTGACAAAAAAATATTTTTAAGATATGCGAAGTCCGCCAATCCGCGCAGAGGGGTCGCGTGGGGACTATGGCCTAATAACCTCTGAAAACAGGAGGCCTGTGTAGTACATTATTATATAGGCTGTTACTTTAATGATGCCTTATATTTGCAGTCTGTCCGGAGGGCTACTTCGGCGACCACTGCATGGAGCCTTGCAACTGCCCGTCGAACGGAAATTGGGTGTGCGACCCCGTAAAGGGCTGCGTCTGCCATCGCGGCTACATCGGCGAGCACTGCGACATAAACGCCAGCGACGCCATCCACATCGACCAGGCTGCTGGTATGCGATACAATGACTAGATTAGTGGGCTTGTTGTGACTGTGGTTGGAATGAGATACTACGATGGACTTTCACGCAAATACTATTGAATGGATTCTAATGAAACTTTACAATAATATAGCTTATACATCAGAATAAGACATAGGCTATAATTTATGTACCTACATATTTTTATGTATATGTGTCTTTCTGTCTGAATGTTACGCCTTCAGCCTATTCTACGCAGACGTAGTCGCGGGCAGCAGCTAGTATATAATAAGAATGACAGCATGTTAATGGGTGTGTATCCAGCAGGCTCATCTAACGCGGGCCTGACGACGGTGATGGTGATAATGGCACTGCTCTGCGCCGCCGCCGCCGTCCTGGTTCTGCTCTACTACAGGAAGCGGGTGCGCAATCTCAAGCGGGAGATAGCGCACGTCCACTACACGGCCGACCCCAACCAGCAGCCGGGTGCGTGTTTTCACATTAACCGGCCGATTTCGATATGCTTATCTATGTGTTGATTTGGCTACTAGCGATAGGTATTCGACATTAGCTTCATAATACTTACTTCAAAATTATGTTGACAGTAATCAAATCTACTGATAGAATATTGAAACTGATCGTAAATCTACATGCATGTTGGGCAATTTTGTATGGGGGATTGGCTTATGTCACGTGTTTGTTTTGTGACGTTAAAATTTTGGATATTATTTGGTTTTCGAATATTTTGATTGCTGTGAAATAAAATTTCTATAAAATATTTTTTTATAGTTGGTCCATAGTATCTTTGACGCGCATTTCATTTTATTAAAATTGTATAACATGTTATTTAAAATTTACTTGTTTAGATTTATTATTTATTGGTTTAAATGATCAGAAATAAAATAGATCTTTTGCAATTTGAATTTTTGATCTTATATAATATTTTTCTTGGAACTGATTTCATACGCTTAATATGTTTTTATACTAAAATATAATTTAAAATGACGCGTTTAAAACCTATATAACATAATTTTAAATAAAATGTTTATTACTCTACTTTCAGAACAACAACATTTCGACAACCCTGTGTACTCGTTCCAAGGTTCGACACGTGGCGACGACAGTGCCACCCTACTGAATAACGCCACACAAATATTCAACAATTTGGGCTCCGGCAGCAAACTGAACAACGCAACCTTGGAAAAGTTGAGAATGACTGCCACAAGTTCCAATGACAGTGAGTATAGCCTCAATAATGCGATCTTTTGGGGGCTTATTATATTTTATATATTGTAAACTAATATGTTAAATAGGAAATTAATGTAGATGACGACCCGAATGGCGTAGTGGGTAGTGTATCTGCCTCCTGCGCCAGAGGGTGTGGGTTCCCACTACTGGAAAAGTATTGTGTGATGAACATAGTGTTTTTCTAGTGTCTGGGTGTTTATATATGTATAATATGTATTTATTTACAAAAGTAAAGTATGTTTAAGTATGTTTATCAATTTTCTAGTACAAGCGTTGCTTAGTTTGGGACTAGAAAATGTTGTGTTAAAATGTGTCCTAAAATTTTTATTATTTATTTATCTTAAATGCGGTCAACATACATAATTTATAAGCTGGCAGATGTTGAGGTAACAGGCCATCTTAAGTAAAAAAAAGAATGTGTGTACTTACTTGGCACTTAAGAAGTCATACTTCCTTAGCGTTATAAAATAAATCTATCTAAAAATTTCACCCCTATGCTCTTTGTTTGTGCATTAAATAAATAATAAATAAATAATTATTTAAATGCAGTTGATAATGGTTTCATTAATTAATTTGGAATTATAGGGAAATGTCAAAAAGTTGTTATCGGTTGCCATAAGAAGTTGGAATTTAAGCAAAATGTCTTATTATGATTTATAGAGGAGATATGAACAGAAAGTGAAAAGTGAAATAAATGAGGTCAATTAAAAATGTCATTGTTCAAAGTTTACAAAACAACCTTGATTACAAAGTTCCTTTTTGTTTTTTTAAAGGCTATGATCCCTTCTCTTCTTTGAAAAATAAAGACGCGGATGCAACCAACCCTAATCTCTATCACTGCATCGATGACGACAAACTGGATCATGTATACGACGAGATCAAGCACAAGGAAGGATATGGTAATTGTCGTGAAACCAAATTGTCACTGAATGCCTGAATATCTGATGACGAAATTTTTTTTATGTGAAAAGTTGTCAAGCGAACAGGCGGTTCACCCGATGTTAAGTGACTACCGTCAGGTATTGAAATTTGCAATACTTGATGAGATCGCAAATACATTGATACTATTTTAAAATGATGTCGAAGATAAAAAGTGGTCGAAATGTCGGTAAATAAAATCAACCTTAAACGCGATAAAATATGTAAAATAATTTAATTTACCAATATATAGGTTTGTATTATGTAGGTTGCGTGAACTTAAGGAATCTCAATTAACTTTAAGAAAACGAATGATTAAACATACATTTCTCAATTATTTGTGAATGTTAGGCCTCGACCACTACAAATGTTAATTACTTCATACTTATGTGTTAGGGCCACAACAGCTTCGGCTGTGGCACGAATGGACAGGCTCGTCCGGCTAAGTACCACGAGCTCACAGAAGACCAGCGTAAAGTGGAAGTATAATAGTAACCGGGGCCCACTTTATTAACGAGTTGCAGTGCATGTGCGGCGGTTATCATCTACCGTCAAGTGAACCAGTTCGCCAGTTCGTTCACTACCTCCTCATATAAAAAAAGCGGCCAAGTGTGAGGCGGCCTCGCGCACAAATGGTTCCGTACCATTGTTTATAAAAACGCCAAAAAATCATGTCTGTTGTATTGGAACCCAACTTAAATATTTATTATTATAGTTTTTAGTTTTTGTTTTTGTAACACAATTACATCATCTGTGAAAATTTCAACTGTCTAACTATCCCAGCAGGTATCTCATGAAACGCATGAGATACCTGCCTGGTGACAGACAGACAGACATCGGAGTCTTAGTAATAGGGTCCCATGTCCCATGTTACCCTTAGCGTACGCCCTAAAAAGAACACAGGTTAAATAACAGAAGGATAAATATTTATAATACCATATGTATTATAAATATTTATATTATTCGATTTCATGTTTAACTTTCGCATTTCAGAAAGGGAGTATGATCATTTGAACTACACGCCGCCAGCGAACACGTGGAAACCGCACTACCAGAGGATGAACAATGGAGTAACGCCTGCTGAGACGCAAGCGCAAGGCGATTTTCTACCGCGCAACGATACACCCACGCCCCCAATACCTCCCTTGCCCAAATTGAACATCACCCCTATCCCACCGAAGAGGGAGGAGGAACTTCTAGATGTTCCCGTCCCTCCTAAAAGAGAAGAAGGGGCGTCCAGCATCAGCGATGACGAGGAAGTTGTCACCCCCTGACCCCATAGTGAATGGATTAAGGGCTTTAAGCTGTAATTGCCCGTACGACTCTAGCATGGCTTTTAAGTAAATACTAGGGTCCCGTCTACAATCTTTGAAAAAGTACTATTTTATATTTTGATATGTCTTTTGAAACGCTCATTTGAGCTTCGAATAGAACTATTGGAAATGAGTAGAGTTGTGTTGTTTAGTGCGTGATCTCTCCTCTACATGTTCTAAGTTATTTTTTTATTATTATTAATTTCTAATTTTGCTCTATTTTATAGAAATTTTTTCAGCGAAATCTTTTAAATGTATTATTATTTTAGTATATTAGTTGATGATTAATTTAATGAAAGTATTAACTTATATTTTTTGATTACACAATCTGAATACTTTTTTATTTTAAATAATATACACGTGTGTAAAATCGCAGCTAAACCACGATTCTGAATATTGAAATCTTGTATATTTAATTTAATATATTATATGTTGTATACTTTAGAGTAATTTATTCGTTTTATAGATCACACATATATTAAGGTTGTAAAATCTCACATTCATTAATGTTTAAACAACATATCATTTTAAGTGTAGATTTCTGGTGATACATTTATGGGTTATTTTAGATTTAAAATGAAATTGTATAAAATTTATAAAAATTCTTGGTTTATGCATTTGCCATTCAACACATTTTGTAAATATTATTAAAATAATCAAATGACCATACCTCTCTATCCACTGTCACATTACGTGTAACTTCATAGATGTTGATGATTTTTTTACATATTAGTTAGATGAAATCAAAATTTAAAAAATAGTATCTTAGGTAAATTAATGATATCATGTGCCTTTTGGCCTGTAACATTATTTTGGTAAACTTTTTAAATAATTGTTGTCATTATATATTAATCTGCGGATACATTTTATTAACAAACATTCCACATTCATTTTAATATAACATTTCCGAGATACTTTTATTTTATGTCATGTTCATATGATTTTTATACTAAGTGTTGGGTGTTTTGACAAATTTTATTTTACCTTGCTAACAAGCCTAACAAGCTTTGAATACGTAAAGGAACGGAAAGCCATCGAACCATTTTCGGAAGGTTTTAAAAACTTTATTTATATAAATCACCATTAAGTGTTGGTAAATATACTACATAAATCATAATTATATAAAGAGAAAATGGGCCATAAATATTATATTGAAAATGTTTCGTTATTTGTATTCTAAATCAAGTAATAGCTAAAATTTTGCTCAAATTGGTGCCAAACAGTATCAAAATTAGGAAGCTATGTTCTCATTCGGCAGCTTAAAAATCTATATTTCTTACAGGTACATTATTTTTATCTATTACCCAGAAGCTGTTCTTAAACTGGAGCTAAATGTGCGCGAAAAAATGTTGCTCATCATTTAAGTCAAAATATATTCTTCTTCTATTTATTAATGGCTTGCTTTGTGAATTGTCACAATTCCGCCAATGTCAATTTATTCTTAAAATTCTCAGTTTTATAAAAATAGTAATAGAAAAATAAAAACTTCAAATATTCAACGATATTTTTAATGTTACGACATTTATAAGATTAGGGTTGGTGTAGAATGACTGTAATGTCACTAAAGCTATTAACAAATGAAGTAACTCATTGTACATTTGTCAACTGAGTGAATAAAGCAATAAATCCCACAAATTTATATTTTGTTTAAGATTTATCCAACTTCTTTTATTTATGTAAAAATATGAAGTAAGCAATACGTAACATAACTTGGTTCGTTAAGATTATTGGTAATGATAAAAGAGCAATACAAATAACAGCAATACGAAATGATTAAATTCCAAATTGTTTACATTTATTATGTCGGAATTACTGTCGTTGTCAAATGCGATCCTTAAGAAATCATATGACAATAATGTAACGTTACTTTTTTAACTATTAAATATACCTTAATATTATATGATAGGATAATTTAATTTCTCCCAGATAAAACTATCATTTGCCCCCGTATTTTGTGTTCACGAGTCATGTCTTGACAAAAGCGGTTAGTCTTATGTTTGTGATATTCTGTAGTTTAAGATATTAAAGTGAAATAAACGAATGTTCTTTACAATGAATTGTTAATTGTTTTATTTGGGTTCTGGCTTATTTTTTTCACCGTGCGTATATTGGCCCGTAATAACGAAACCAAATATTTAAACAGTTGGCTGAAAGCGCGTAACGCGTGGCTACATGAATAAATATACGTTAAAATACTGAAAGATGCCAGTACGATAGTAGCGTCACAGTTTGTTTTCTGTAACAAAACTATATTACGTTGCTTCACATTCACTACATCTGTCGTCGTTTGTTATAAAATTCGAGTATGAAATTCATAACGATCTTTTTTATATTCATCGTCCAAGTGAGTATTTTACCAAGAAATTAATTGCATTTTCCTGTTTTTGTTTTTGTCGTTTAACTATGGACAATGCTCAATTCCAGACGCGCGGTTCGCTCATTGGCGATTTTGAAAACGTTATGTCGTCGTTGCAAAATGGCTTTCAAAAATTGATAACCGATGTTGTTGACGATGTGAAAGATACCATCGACTGCACGGTCGTGGCCGTCGAAACTGCGCTGTCCCTCGGTGTAGATAATTCGATGTATCGCAAATGTAATGGCGGTTCTGATCGAAAACCGAACGAGAACAAAAGCGATATGGATACACTATCGCTAAGTCTTCTGAATAATAACCCAAAAATAGAGAATTCAGATCGTAACATCCTAAAACGAGTGCAAAATCCATTGTCAAACTCGGACAGCAACTTTCGTTATAATACCGATGAAAATCGTATAAATAGTGTTAATTTGCATTTGGAAAACGAACTAGAAAAAATATCGTCTTCCTTTAGTGACAAATTGAAAAGAATTGACAAAGGCCAAAGATCAACTATTGATTCCGTTACACAATACATAAACCTTAAAAACGTCGAGCTTGTCCCAGATGGTAGTTTCGATGTAAAAGAGACCCCAATAAGTATAGGAAATGAAGATTTCAATGCTAATGTAAAAAACTCCAATTTGAATGATCTTAACATCAGTAACGTTTTAAAAAGCTTAGTACACCAATCGAACAACTATAATATTTCAAGTGATATCGGCGATAGCTCTAGGATATTCTCTTTCTCCTCTCCAAGGACTTTTAAGGAAGTGATTGACAAAGAGTTGCGAATTGAAAAATCTGCGGAGAACAGGAATCAGAGTCAGGAAGTTAAAAAAGAAAATGTTGAAACTTTGGATAGTCTTTTTGGCAACTCTGATAACGGCGAATCGCATACAGAAGTCTTGGAACAAGCTAAAAAATTAATAGAAGATGGTGAACGCTCCAATTCTATTTTAAATAATCTATTTCAAAAAGTAGATCAATTGGGTCGAAATGTTTTTGATAATTTGTAGGTAAGTATTACAATAATTTATATTAATAATTTATTAATGTGTATAAATATTGACACGCGGTGTTCGCGTGATTTGGAATTATCTTAATTTATATAAAAATTAGTAAAACATTGTTCCGTTATTGATTATTAATTTTTGACGACTGTGGGGAAACACTAAACTAGAAAATAATGGTATGAATGTTTGTGATATCCTAATGGCATATTTGCGTTTATCGTCATCTTTAAAAAACATTATTTTGTAATTAACCGTCATCAAAACGTCGTTAATTATCAAATCTTTAGTGTACAGATTAATTTAACACTACAATTAGCTAAGGATGATTATGAAAAGATTTTCTTTTCATTCTGGTGTTTTGTTATCCTTTCTGCCAATGAAAAGTAAAAGCAATGAAGCAATGTTATTACTTCGTACACGTTTTAATTTTTCTTAGAACAAAAAATAAATAATTTTACTAACTATTTAGTTAAATTTTGCGATTAGCGGGTTATATGAGCTTTAAAAAGTTGTTTTGAATCAGTAATTATGAAAAGGAATAATGCGAAATATCGTGTTACTACATAAAACGCCTTTGAGAAATAATAAACACATAGGTATATGATATTTGTTACCTCATTAAAGAAAACGAACGTTTGACAACATTTCAACAATTACCTTTCTTTAATTACAGCTCATTCATTGCAATTTCACACGGTTTCGTCTCGGCTTCTATACTTAAATCTCAAGGTCGTACTTGTCGTGTATTTATCGTATACGTTATTTCTTCTAACGATAACAGAGCAAAATCTCATACTTTGTTTTCATTGCCTATAGGACTGCTCAATTACTGATATGTTAATGCAATTATTATTTGGATTTTAAATAAGAACTGTTTTAATAAGAAAGACTTCAAATATCCCACGAACGATACAATCTAGGAGTCCTAGGTCCAATGTCAATGAAATTAATATCTAGGTACATGGGAGCTGAACTGAAAACAATGCTAAAAAAATTTAAATCCGTATCATAAATGACGGAGATCTGAGGAAACAAACATATACAACCAAATTGAAAATAAACACCTTTTTTTGGAAGTCGGTCGAAAAAGCTAACGGATGGCGAGATTTCATGAGATTTGCCTCAATCCCCTTTATTCCCCAACCTCACGTGAGATTTTTCAAAATGCATGTAATCGCGTAAACGTTTTTATTTAAGACTAGTCAAGATACTATTAAGAGATTCTGAGAAAGTAGGATAGGATTACAGTGAAAATTAAACAATAAAATTCTAAAATCGTTACTACTACTAATATTCATAAAAGAATATTCATTTTAATTCAGCAAAGGGAGACTTGTGCACAGTTGACTGTTGCAACTAAGTATTGGAACTGTTGGTTCCAACAGTCACCCTTCACTTCAGTCCACATGATTTTCAGTAAAATCCTTTGCTCCTTACCTCGTTCTGGCGCGTAAACAAACTGCGGGCTATTGTGCAACTTTGCGGTGTTCGGAAAATAACGTTAAGTATTATTGAAATTGATCTGGCTATATTGTAGTAAATCTTTTAATTTACTAAATAGTATCTTTTCGAAATTTTACTCT